GGGCAGGCCTGGGGAGGGGACGTGGAAAGTTGTAAGCTTGGAGGCCAAGGTGGAAGTGCTAGGAATTGTTCAAACTTCCAAGAGGCAAAGAGAAGAAAAGGAAGACACTGAAAGACAGACCCCTGGAGAAGGGAGCAAAGAGTTATTAGCAAGTTATTAGTTATTAGCAAGACTTGTTGGCAAGGAAGCAATTAGAGAAGGTTGAGGAAGGAGAACTGGGTTGGTGCAGTGTCCTAGGGGCCATGAGAAGCCAAGCAGCTAAGAGCGTCTGAGAGGCTGTGACTGGATTTATTTAGTAGGAGGTCTTTGGGGGCCTCAGGAGAAAAGTGCCTGCAGATGGTTGGAGCAAGAGCCAGACCCCAGGCGTGAAGGGAAGGCGCGGGGACCAGGCCCTGCATACTGGAAGGAATGAGGGAAGAGAGGAGAGTAACTGGCGGAGACAGAGAAGTCAGGTGAAGATGAGTTAGAAGAGGAAGATTGTAGAGTGAGGAAAGAGCCCTTTAGAGAGAGCATTTGAAGGTTTTAGAGAAGGGGATGATTGATGGAATGGGGTTCAGGAGTGGAGAGCCCGAAGCCTTTGCAGGGCACAATGTGAAGGCTGCCGGCTGGTGGGCTAGAGGGGGGCGGGGGGTGGGACCTAGCACTTCAGCAGCTGAGCAAAGGGCAGGCACAGAACAGCAGGGCGCTTGTCACCTAGTGGGGAAGCCTTGGCAAGAGTTCAAGAAGAAGAATGTAAGTGACATGGGTAAGCGGTTTCCTGATATTTTGCTCATTGTTAATAAAGCAGTAAATTAGCCTGTTATTGCTGAGACCTAGTATCCCGGGCTCTATTGTTACAAGTGTTGTAAAATACAGAAAAAAGAAGCATAAATCATGAACTCTACCTTCTCTGTCTAGTTGGAAGAAAAACAAAAACAACCCACACTGATACAGGGATAACAGGGAATGAGGAAAACCAGGCGATTTGACCTTCAGGAGACCTCACACCTGCCTGCAATGAGATGGCATTGAGAATCCAGCCTTTTACAGGGATTCTGTAAGCAGCTTTATGAAAAATGTCCAAGGCAAGGGCACATTTAATAAACAGCTTGAGAGAATGGACCCTGCTAGGAGTAGTAGGAGTAGGGGTCGTAGTAGCAATAGTAATAATATTAATATAATAATAATAATGGCTAACATTTGTTCAAATTCGTTTCATTCCTATCTGCCAGGAACTATCTATTTTCATGAATTAATTAAATTCTTACAACAACCCTATAGGGTAGAAAGTATTTTCATTACCATTTTATAGGTGAATAAACTGCATCATAGATAGATGAAATACCTTGTTCACGGCCACAGGGATAGTAGGAAGTGGCTGAGGCAAGATCGGTGTCTGGGAAGTCTGGCTATAGGCTGACTTCTTAAAGATAGATGATGATCACAAGTGACAGCAGCAACCCCAAAGACTAGGGGTCTCTGAGCAGATTCTCTCTGGCCTGAGTCAGAATAACAGACGTCAGTTCTGGGATCGCATCCCAGACTAAAGCAGAATGCTTTGATGTTTGGTGGGCAATCCCAGGGCCCATTTCCAGTTCATCAACAGCTCCTTGTAATTTCTGAATCTCAGGCACCAGGAGCAGGTCTGATTTTTCCTGCTGTAACTGCTGAACTGATGGTGCAGGGAGAAGGATGGTGTCCTTGGCTTGGAAGAAGGGCAAGTGAAGGAAAATGACTTGGTCTCTCAAGAGTTAACATTGGAAGTAGGGAGGTGGGGCTTGGGGTTTGGGAACAAGATCTTCAGTCTCTGAGCCTCCACCAGAGAGAGTTGACATGAGACTCATACGTACACATATACGCAGTGTTATCTATACACCAAAGAGGGTGTTCTTGAAATTAAGAAAATGCAAATCTATTTCAAATTATTACTGATACTGATTCATAGTACTTTTTGTCATCGTGAATTTTCTCATGTGAGAAATGCCAGGAAAATGTCACAAAGTGAGTATTTTTAAACCTAAAATGAGCTCTTTTATAGTTGAAAATATTGAAAAACATTTGTTTAGAGCAGTGATCTCTTAAACTCTTGAGAATTAGCTCCCTTACCAGTACAAAAAATTTGAGCACTCTTAAGTGTATTTATTATGTTATGTGCAGTGGTATTAATATCTTGTGTAATATTGTTATATATTCATAAAAATAGAAAACAAAATTTAAAAACAGAAAATTTTTTTCCTTATACTGTTACCTTGCATACTTTAGGGTGACATGCGCCCCACTTTGGAGACCGGGATGGATTCTGGGAACAGTAAAGGAGTGATTTTTTTCCTTTGGGGATGACTTTAATGAGACATTTTTTTTATTTAAAAATGTTTATTTGTTTGTTTTGAGAGACACAGAATGTGAGCAAGGAGGCATAGAGAAAGAAAGAGAGAGAGAATCCCAAGCAGGCTCCGTGCTGTAGCTCAGAGCCTGATGTGGGGCTTGAACTCATGAACTGTGAGATCATGACCTGAGCTGAAATCTCGAGCTGGATGCTTAACCAAGCTAGAGCCACCCAGGTGCCCCTAATGAGCCATTTTAAATTGAGATCCATGTTCAGTTTGTTTAGAGCCAGTGGTTATACAGCTTAGCTTTTTCATCAGAAGGACCACACTGTGGGGCATGATAAATTGGAGATGAAGAACTCAGCAATTGAGCTTAGAGGAAAAGCTGGAGGATTCACAACCAGCACAGGGCACTTGAGTGGGCACCCCCAGCTGGACCCTTGGGTGGGGGTGGGTGGCAGGGCAGGCTTGCAAAGCCTCAGAACAACTTTCTCATTTGTTTCCCATTCAGGATCCCAGAAGCAGCAATGTGCTGATGCCGGGGTGGTTTTCAGGGGCTCAGCCAGCTTCACTTTGCTCCTTTCTACAAACAGAAGGAAGTGTCTAGATTGGGTTCCTTCACTTCTTACTGACACACTCCCAAGGGCCGAAACAGCCTATTTAACAAAAAGACTTCCTCAGGTTCCAATGTGATTGTCTTTGTCTGATGTCGTTGGCAGGTTTTTCCGTTGCTGCTCTCTTCTTCAAGACCTATAAAGACTTCCCATTACCTAACAGACCAAATCCAGCCTCCTCACCTTGGCATCTAAGACTCCATTTTACCTATCCAATTCACACGTTATGTGTCTTTACCTTTAAATCTCCCCTTCAGTCAGGCTGGTCTCTATCCTGTCTTCTGTGATGCTTCTACATGCCCCCAGCAGCCCCACCACCACCACCAGTATGTGCGTGCACATGGGTGCACCTGTCTGTGTGCAAACACACATGCATGCCTATTCTGTCTTTATGGCCTCAGCCTGTTTACTCCAAGTGGAAACCCCTCCTCGTTCTTTATCAGTCAAACTACCTAGTCTTCAAAAATAAGATGAGCTCCACCTCTTGTACAAAGATTTTACTAAATGCTTCTCTGAGTGTGGTCCTCAGACAGCCTGAGTCAGTGTCACCTAGGATGGTTGTTATGAATATAAATCCTTCGTTCTCACCTCAGAACCTATCAACCGTAACTACTGGAAGCAAAGCCCAGGAATCTGCATTTTCATAGGGTGTTGATGAAGTGCAGTGCAATTTGAGGGGTGCTGTTACCTGGTAATTTGGGACACAGCCCTCTCTTTTGCTACAGACTCCATTTACCTGTTGAGTTGAGACCTATAGAATAGGCATCTCTCAGAGCTCTACAAAGACTTCTTGGCTTCCAGGTCCCTTGTAGGGCTCTTCCAGGGAGGCTTTGTTCCCCCTACCTTGTACCAACTTATTAAGGAGCTTCTGCACATGGAATGTATGAGGGCTGCAGGCCTCACGACCTTTCAGATCATCTTTGTGGCCATTGACCATACCTGTACGGTGAAAACAATCTCTAAGGGCCAGACGTGGAGCGGACTGAGGACTGGGGGTGTGAAGTGAGAATTAGGGATGCAGTGGGCCTGCATGGCAGGAGTGAATATATTTACCAGCCTGCAGAGAGGAGAGCCAAACTGAACACCAGCCGACTGTCTTCAGTAGAGCAGAGGAGATAATGTTCTAGGATAATTTGTTCTCTGCTGGCCTTTCTCTTTTCTCCAGGGCTTCTCTTTTCCCATCAGGGATCACTAGACAGGCGCTAGATTGGAGGATGAGGAGCGAGGCCTAGAAATTCAATGTTGCCAAGTCGACTAACTCTGTTAACTAACTGGACAAATAGCAGTTCTAGTGGGTGCCCGGGGACTCCAGCCTTTAAGAAAACAAGTCCAAACACACCACAAGTTCTGGCTGCCTGGAGTTTGGCATTCCTTTTGTCTTCTTAGTGAGGGGCCTCATTGCCTTTAGCAATTAGAGTGTGCGTGTGTGTGTGTGTGTATGTGTGTGTGTTCATGTGTGTGTGTGACCGATTAGTATATCCAGCCACATCTTGGATGGTAAAAAAAAATCCCCAGATGGAAGTAATTGTATTCAAAGTCCTTGTATTTTTAGAAGGCCTTTTCCAGAAAGCTCAAAGCGTAGCACTCTGTGGCATAACCTAGTTTGTTCCTGGACTGTCTCCAGGTGTTTGGTAAAGGCACAGCTTCTATAATTATTGTCATTGTACATTTGGAGGATGGAGAAGCTTTGTGGGTTGAAAAGGCCACATGGCATTAGCGGCAGTGTTGGGGACAGGATACTCAGCTTCTATTCCTGGTCTACTAGTGATTTCCAGACTGAGGCCCACAGATTAATGCTGTGGTGGCTGCATTAGAAGCACTTGTGGAATTAATTAAAAATAAAGATTGTGGGACTCCATTCCTCTAGAGATTCCAACTCAGTAGGTCCGGGGCGGGGCCCAGGAATCTGTATTCTCTACAAGCAATCCGGATCACTCTGATGCACAGCCAGCTTCGGAAACTAACATCCTAGAGCGTGTAACAGCCACACTACCCACCTCTTTCCTCCCAGAAAGGTCTTGGACTCAAACATGACTTTTTAATGCTTTTCTTCTGGCCACCCACCCTCAAACTTCCCCAGGCCTCCCAGCTCAGGCCAAGAAACATGCTGAATCTGCCAGAACCACACTGCTGACCTGGAAGGGAAACACGACCTCACGCAAGGAGAAGAAGGAAATCCTGGGTACACTGGTCATGCTCTACTACACCGTGGGCGTGGCCTGGCTCCTACAGAACCGATATCCTTCCTTTCCCGGGGGGCCTGTGATCAGGGTGGCAGCCACATGTCCCCAGCTGGGCCATCTCACCTGGGAGCAGGGGAGATCAAACCGCGCCTCACAGTTCTCTTCTGACATCCGGGGCCCCCACAAGCCCCTTACCTCTATCTAGAAGGGTATGAATGTTCCTCCTGTATCTGTTCATATAAACTCTGAGTTGAGCCATGAGAGGGATCTCACTGGTGACCTGTCGCCTGGCCAGTTGAGAAATTTCTAGAGTCTGTCCTTCTTCATTGAGCACCCAGGAAGATCAGTATTAGCAATGAGGGCGTGGGTGATAGTGGGTGGGGAGTGGTGTAGGGGAAGGCAGCATGGCTGGGAATTTAAAGCAGTGTTGGTCAAAGGAGGCTGCACCTGTCACCCCCTGGGGAGCTTTAAGAATTATTGCTGTTTGGGTCCTGCCCTAGAGATTTTGATTTAGTAGGTCTGGGGTTCCTCTGTTTATTGAGATATTTTAAAGTCCCCCAGGCAATTGTAACCTGCAGCCAGAAACCTCTGATTTAATGGACTCTTGATCATTTTTGTTTTTCTGAACTGCTGTTGAGAATACTGCCATGAAGCTGGAGGCCAAGTGAAAAAGGCAAAAGAAAATGTTCTCTATGTCCCCAGAGGGGGACCATTACTCTTCAAAAAGCCTGTGATTGTGACAGCCTTTTGGTACCATCTCTACTTAAACACTGTGCAGCATATTTCATGTTCATGAATGATCATACACTGAAGGTGGAATGATACAGAGATTAGCATGGCCCCTGAACACGGATGATAGGCACATTTATGAAGCATTCCGTACTAAACAGAATTCACCACGGGTCTTCTTTGAGACCACGTGTCTTTAACCTCTCTTCTTTACCACATCCCTCTCTCTGCTTTTTTTGGTCTTGATGCTCAACTTGTAAAAACTGATCTGTTGCCTTTCTCTGTTGTGTCCTTAGACAGGGCTATTGAATTTGTGGGAAATAGGATATTTGGGAATTAAGGGGATTTTCTTTCTTGCTATTTGCCTCCTGCCAAAAACCTGTTTTGCTTGGACTTCCTAAATGATCTAGAAAGTCCCTTTCAGCAGAATTAGTTCCTCTCTTTACCACTTACAGGAACCAACTCAGGAAAAATGAATAACTATTGTCATGCCATGGATGCCTCTAAAGAAAATCAAGCATAATTTACAGTTTCTGTTCACTCCTCCAAATGCCCACTACCCACTGCAGCCCTGGATTCAGGCTACTGCCTTGGGAAACCAGGGCTCTGTTCGTTTTCTAAAGAATTCTTGACAACATATACATATAGAAAATAAAGAACACATAGTAAGTGCCCGTTTTCCAATTCTGCTTCATTTTCCCAAAGGGCCCTTTTGTTTACTTATCAACTACTGTCTCTGGGAAATGGGGGAGTTTGTGTGCCTGGCATTTTCCTTGACTGTTTCACTGGCAGAGAGGCTTATTTCAACCTGCAGAAGGCAGACAAAAACATGAAAGAGCTGAAAGAATTATATAAGGGAAGTGTTCGCAGATTACAAGTCTCGGAGAAAGACCTGACGATCGCTTTGGGCAGGTAAGATCTGGGTTTTAAGAGGCTTAGGCTTTTGTGCACGAGGCCTGGTACCACATGATTCTCCTGTGCTCTTCTGTATGAGAGCAGAAAACCAGATACTCAGATGATGATAGAAGAGGCGTTTTATTTACCAAATGCACACCCTGTGGTCTAAGTTTATGTGCAGTGCCCAGTGAATCTTAATAGATAGCACTGAGGTAGTCGGTGCAATTATTATCTCATTAGATAGAGGGTGGAAACTGAGGCAGAGATTAAACAAGCCGTCCAAGGCGACAAGCATTAGATCCTGGTCTGAACTCATGGACTCCTCGCCTTTATCCTGCCTCCCGCACCTATTCTCAAAGTATGTCTTTCTCTGAAGTGCCACCTCCTTTTGTCACGAAGCGTGGTGTCTTAAAAGACAAGGAAAGAACACTTAATGATGACCGTGTATTGGAAGCCCATGAAAGCTATGCACCACACATGCATTTTTAAGGAAAGTTCTGTTCCTTGTAGAAACCAAGGATTTGTTCAAGCCAGAGCAAGATTTAACTGGTTTGCAGTGGAGTGAGGTATCCTCAGAGAGAGTCACAGTATTTACAGACGAGAGTGGGCCCAGCAGATTATCAGAAGAAAAAAAAGAATAATAAAAGGTTTCCTGTTCCCTGTATTTTTAAAAATATCTTCACATCCTTGAAAGCAATCTGTTTCCCAAACCGCAAGCACTTGGCATGGTACGGTCGATGACTGAATGGAAGTAAATGACATGAGTCATGCCTACCTGCTCTAAACAACCCTGAATCTAGAAATCAAATGGGTAATGGTGGGGAGGTGTTTGAATGTCCAAAGCTAAGTCAACCTATGGATGTAAGTCCACAGAGCCATAAATTAGAGTCTAGTGAATGTCTGCTGTGGTTACGTGGGTCAGTGGCTAAGGTTTTCGTGCCTTATGTGAAAGGTAGCCTTGTTCCTTTTTCAGAATAAATTCTAGTGCATATTGCACTCATTCATTCTACAACATTTACATAGTATCTATTTTGTACCTGCACTATTCTATGTGTTGAAACAGTATAACTATATCCAAGAACTATTCTAAGTGCTTTCCATCATTTATTTAATTCAATCCTCTACCACCAGCTATGAAGCAGGTATTTTTGTTTTCATTTCATAGATAAGAAAATTAAGGCACAGAGTGAGTAACTAACTCAAGGTTACAGAATGACTAGCAGAGGATCCAGCACTACAGTGGGTCCTCTTAATCCATAGCTCACCTTCTGTATCACATTGATTTATATTTTATATAGACCAAATATCTAGCAAGAGGAAATCCCTTTTCTCATTTTAAAGGTGGGGAAAATACAGTGTGGTTGTTTAGACCAGACAACTTGGCTAATATCTCCCTACAAGCTCTTGATGAGAGGCAATTTCATTCTGTAATTTCTGTTGTTACAGTCAAAGGAAATAGTGGTCTGATTGATCAAATTTTTTCTGTAAAGAATTATCAGATAACAGTGTACTTTTGATTGTTAATCTTCAGAGGAAGGATGAAACTTTTAGTTTAAAATAAATCGTAACTTGGGCTCCTGGTTGGCTCAGATGGTTAAGTGTACAGCTTGGCTAAGGACATGATCTTGCAGCTCATGAGTTCAAGCCCTGCATAGGGCTCTGTGGCTTACAGCTCAGAGCCTGGAGCCTGCTTCAGATTCTGTGTGTCCCTCTCTCTCTCTCTCTCTTCCCTTTTCCCGCTCATGCTGTCTCTCTCTGTTTCTCAAAAGTGAATAAACATTTTTTTAAAAATTTTTAATAAATTGTAATTTGCAGAATGCCTTTTATAAAATAATTCTATATACATGCATATTTTGTACGTATACATACATACATACAAAGATGAAAACAAGGGGTGAGGGGAAGTAATAGTGATGTGTATCCACTATAGGTTAAGTGACTTACTGTACAGTTTTTTATCCAATCTTCACAACCATCTTGTTACTTAGGAATTCTTAACCATGTTTTATTTGAAGGGAAATGTAGGCTCCTGAAGTTTGACTGTAAAGCCAGTAACTGTGAGAACCAGTTTGAACTACCATGCTATTCTCCTTGTGTCTTGCTGTCTCCAGAAGACTAAACCTTAATGAAAAGCTTTTATTCTTATTTTTATTTTTTTTAAATATATTTTTTATTTATTTCTAGGAGAGAGAGACAGACAGCGTGAGCAGGGGAGGGTCAGAGAGAGAGGGAGATACAGACTCTGAAACAGGCTCCAGGCTCTGAGCTGGCAGTCAGCACAGAGCCCGACGCGGGGCCCGAACCCACGAACCGCGAGATCATGACCTAAGTGAAAGTAGGACGCTCAACCGACTAAGCCACCCAGGCGCCCCTCTTTTATTCTTATTTTTAAATTGTATTTTGTTTTGGAAGGTTTGAAAAAACAGATATGAAGAAGAAAATAAAGTTTTAATTTCATAACCCAAAGATAACTGATATGGACATTATAGTTAGAGATGGATTGACCAATCGATTGATAGATACATCACGGTTAATTTTAAGTACAGTCATATCACTTTTTAAAATTTACCATACTTTTAATTTCCCCTCATATTATTTAGTCTAAAAAGGAATCATGATTTGTAAAGCCTGAAGTATTTTATTATATGATGTTCCATAATTTATTGAACCACCGCCTTTTGGAGGGGATATTTACATTGTTTTTTCTATCCTCATTTTTAACTCAGGGGGAATAAACTAAATCAAACAAGACAAAGCAATGGGTTTGCATTGTCTGAAAGAGAGGGAGTCAGAGATAATACAATTTTATTCTGAGTCCGGAATGTCTGTGTTTATGAGTAAATTATCCATCTTGTGAATTACTAGAAGCCATTTTTTTGGCTTTTTTATGAAATTAGACTATAGCATGCTATATTAATGGGAGTGAATGGTAGTCAGTGGAATTTGGTGGGTAAAATGTAGGCTAATGGGAGTTTGTTTATAATAAGACTGCATTTTAGTTAACCACTCAGATAATTGGCCTCTGTAGGCCAAATCATTTCATTCTTAGAATCAGTTCCTTTTGTGTCTGCAAAGTAAGGGACCTCTCTGACTTTCCATTTTTGTCCCTCATCTCATAGAGCCTCCTTGGCCGTCCACAGATTGAACCTTGCTCTGGCATACTTTGAAAAGGCAATTGGCAATGTTATTGCTGTGAAGGGTGATAGGGCATCAGATCTGGTCAGTCTGTATGAGGAGATCGCGCAGATCGAGCAGCTGAGGAGGAACCATGATCAGGCCATTCAGTACTTGCAGCAGGTTGGTGAGTTGGCTGGAGCACCAGCCTAGTGGCCTTGTTTGGCCCCAGGCCCTGTTCTCAGGGCCAGGGAAGTGCAGGCTTCTCAGAAGAACAAGGGGATGGGGTGGATTTCCCGCCAGATCCACACAAGAGCCCTTCCTCAACCTTAAACAATGTGGGCAGAGAATCCTGACCCAGGGTGAGTATATCTGCTGTTTGACCTGATCTGAGACCAAATTCCCCTTCCAGGGTTTCCCCTCATCTCAGTGGGTGCTGGGAAGAGGTAAGCAAGTGAGTCTGTTCCAGGGAAAATAACCTATAGGGGTAACCAAACTTAAGGCTTTAGCAAATACAAAGGGCTTTTTTTAATGAAAAAAAAAAATCATGATATTTTGGTGTAATGCTGTCATTTGTCCTCTAGGCTAGCCCAGAGATTGTATCAACAAGTTGTATCAACAAGTCTAAACTTAAACTGACAAAAGGGTATGTCACTTGGAGGTAACTAATCTGAGAAATGCCCAGGGGAAAACAAAACAAAACAGTAAGGAATGTTGAGACTATTATAATGAAAACAGTGTGGGGCATTTTGATGTATCATGTACTTGAAACTTCCCTTGAAACTTCTCATTAAATTCACCTTTTCTCTCCTCAAATAACCCTGTTCGTGAGTGGATAAGATTTCCTGTATCATAGAAACCGTGCAATGCAATTCAATGGTATATGTGAAAACAGTCTGATACCATAGAAGAGGCATTGCAAGTAATCCCGCAATCCAGACTTATTAGCATCACACCATGGAGAAATGTTAGGGAATGCTGATCTGATGGCAGGGAGTCCACTGTTAACAGAGCAAGCCATCAGGTTTTTGTGTCCAAGACTGTGCAGGCAGCAGTCAGATCAGGATGGATAAAACAAGATATAATCAGTGTTTCCCAGCAACACAAACTAATAGTGAACATTTATGGACTGCTTTTACTGTGTGCACTTGAGGATGTATTGATTTAACCCATGCAATAAGCCTATGAAGTGGAGCCATTACTATTACTGTATCTCATTTTAAGGATGAAGAAACTGAAGCTTAAAGAGTTACAGCTAATTCAGCCAAAGTTGTGTTGCTAACCAGTAGTAGAGCAGGGATTTGAACTTAGAGGATCTGACCCCCAGAGCCTGCATGCTAACAGCTCTGAACTCTGTCTTAGCTCCAAAGTGTTGTCTGAAAATCTCTGGAGCTCCTTAAAATACCTCACAGTGTCTGACCTGTGTGAACTCTGAGGCACAGAGGAAGGGGGGCTCTTTTCTTGCTGGTGGGTGTGGGCCAGGGATTTCCTCTCTTCTTTCTCCTTCCACTTTAGTATGAATGATAATAGTAATAAGATCTCCACTTCTCTCATACCTAGGACATTCCTGGTGGTATCCTAAACACTTTACATATACTAATTCATTTAGTCTTTACAGCAGCTGTTTGCAACAGTCATTTTTGTCATTCTGGTTTTATATTGAAGAAGTTAGTCACTTGGCTTGATGTCATCAGTGGCTGAGCTGGGATAGGAACTCAGGCAGTATGGTTTTAGGGTCAATTCTTAACTCCCCTGGACTTCCTTTGATAGCGAATCTTTGAGAAGCTGAGCTAAAGTTGTGATTTTAATTTTGCTATGACACCTAATGAGACACCATAATAGCTAATATTTATTGAGGACTTACCATGTGATGGTACTATGCCCAATGCTTTGCATGTACCATCTCATTTAATCTTTTCCAAACCGTAATTGATGGAAACTATATATTTCTTTTATATGTGAAGGTGAAGTTACTTGCTCAAGACTCACAGCTAGGAAATAGCTAGGACTCAAATTCACCCCTCTTATAACACCCATGGTTATAACATCCACAGCTCTCAACTAGCAATTTCATGAGAGCTATTACAAAACCCTCCGAAATACTGTCATTTGGGTACTTACTTGATCATAATTTTCTCTATTCCAGGCCTATTCTGTCTGTGTTTCTTTGTTCACTGAAGTCAGCCCCCAAACTGCAGAGGCAAGCGCGTTACTAGCCAAGGCTCATGCCCTGTCTGGAGAGGCCCAACACAGGGGTAGGTAGAAGAGGTAGCTTGCAGTTATCACCATTTCCCATGGGAAGGAAACACACTGGCAATGATCTATCAATTGATACGAACAGGTTGTAATTAGCTATTCATGACTGTGATGGAAAAATTACACTGGACACCATTTTGTACAAAAACATTGACACATGAATTTAGGCACAAGAATATCTCCACAAATTAGTTGGAATGTCAAAACCAATAAAACCATCTGATTGCCATTTCCTTTATTCCTGTAGGATCTCAGCAGAACTCCCCTGCATTAAGAGTAGAGGTTATACACACTGTGAATGTGAGCTGTGATGTATCAGTTGATGAAGAAATCCAGTGATAAAAGACAAAAACATTGGCTCCTTCTTTCTTCCTCTTCCATTCTCAACCTCCTTGACTCTTTTCCTCTGGCTGTCAAGAGAGAATACTTGTAGCAGCTAGAATTTTCATGACTATATTCAAAAGTGAGGAACTGGGGGTTCTGGAGGAAAGCCAGGTGATGAATTCATCCTTGACAGTAGTCCTTTCTCAGGCAAGGTTATCCTTTGGAAAGTGAATAGCTTCAGGAGAGACACCGAAGAACGGGTGAGAAAGAACTGTGTGCCATGCTCTGCTGGCTGGGCCAGATGAACAGACACTAATGGATTCGATGGCCCATCCAGAGGAGTTTGTGATTTGTGAAGAATATGATTTAAACACTTAAAAATGTTGATTATCTCTGCTCATAAAAGGAATCCATTTAGGTGTACATTATTTTTCAATCATATATGAAAGAGAGAGAGGAGAAGAGCGAGAGAGAAAGAATTATAGGGAGAAGTTTGGCATCCTACTTTTCTCTACTCTTTTATTTACCCATGTCATTAAATAATTTTGTTCAGTTTTCAGAAATTATTTTGATATTTTGATTACTGTTTGCTTTAGCATGAATGTTCATTGAAGACTTCCTGGTTCTCTGTTTCCTAGTTAATCATCTTCTTTAAAAAGTTTTCTTGTGTATATTCAGAGTGTTTGTCCTCCATTTGAATCCAACTAGTCTTCATGGTTATAACACACTTAATATATTTGTGAATATGTAAAAAATTTTGTTCAAGTGAGTAACTTTTATGCTTCTGGGGTTGGGAATCTCTAAGGCTACCTTATTCTTTTCTTGTATACTAATTTTTACCTGTAAAGATCTGGATCTTCACCTATCATTCACTCAACTCCAGATGGATCACATTATAACATAAAAAGTGAAAATATAGATTATCTCGAAGGAAATACAGCACTACAGTCAAAACTCCTAAAATTAGTAATTGAAGGAAAGAAGAACTTTCTGAGCTCACAAAGATATGCTAGAAGAGATTGATAGGTTTAATTATAAAAAGACCTAAAACCTGTGTCTGTCACAAAGTACCATAAATAAAATAAAAAGCAATGTAACCCAAGATGAACAGATAATTTGAATAAGCCCTTAATTATTAAAAAAAAAAAAAAGTTTGTGAGAAAGAAATATCAACACCCAGATGATTCCACTGGGTAATTGTAACTAATATTTAAAGGACTAGCACCCATCCTACATATTCTCCTCCAGAAAATTGAAGGGGAGAGAAAATTGCCCACCTCATTTTATAAGGCTAGCATTATCCTAAAACCAAATCTGGGTAAAGACATTACAAGAAAAAAACAAAAAAAAACAAAAAAAAAAACCTATAGAACAATACCTTTCATACACATAAGCCCAAAAACTCCACAAGAAAATATATAGCAATGTATAAAAAAGAATAATACATGATGACCAAGGGAAGTTTTTTTCCTGAGGGCTTCAGCCTGGTTCTCTGTTTAAACCTGAATCAATGTTCTCTACCATATTAACAATCCAAAGATGAAAAGTACATAACCTTATCAACTAATACAGAAGAACCATGTGACAAAACTCTACACCCTTTCACGCTGGAAGGGGAACTTCCTCAGTCTGATAAAAGGCATGTGCAAAAACCCATAGCTAACATCATGCTCCATGGTGAAAGATTTTGCTCTTAAGATCAGGAACAAGGCAAGGATGTTCATTCTCACTATGCTTATTCAACATAGTACTGGAAGTCCTAGCCAGCACAGTAGGAAAGAAAAAGACATACAACTTAAAAGAAATAAAATGGTCCTTATTTGCGACCATGCAGCTGTTTCTGCCGAAAATTCCAAGAAATCTACAAAACCCCTGGAACTAGTGAGTGTAAGCTTAGCAAAATCACAGGATATAAGGTCAACCACAAAACCCAGTCATATTTCTATATATTAGCTATTCACAACTTGATGAAATTTTTAGAAATATTATTTATAATAGTCCCTGCTCCCAAACGAAACACTTAGGTATAAGTCTAACAAAACATGTATAGTATCTGTATGCTAAAAACTACAAACTATGATCTAAGAAATCAGAAATGACCTGCATAAATGGAGACGTAATGTATTCACAGATAGGGAGATATCTAATAAAGTTGTCACTTCTGCAGAAATTGATGTATGGATTTAACACATTAACAATCAAGAGCTCAGCAGGAATTTTTGTAAATATAGACAAACTGACTCTAAAATTTATATAGAAATGCAAAGAAATTAGAATAGCTGAAACAATTTTGAAGACTAATACAATTGGAGGAATCATACTACCTGATTTAAGATTTATTATGAAAACAACAATAATCGAGAGTTTAGTAAGGGTGAAGGGACAGAGGTCAGAGTCACTGGAATACAGTACAGAGTCCAGAAATAGAACTGTATAGGGGCGCCTGGGTGGCTCTGTCAGTTAGGCATCCAATTTTGGCTCAGGTCAGAATCTCACTGTTTGTGAGTTCGAGCTCCACATCAGGCTCTGTGCTAACATCTCAGAGCCTGGAGTCTGCTTCAGATTCAGTGTCTCTGCCCCTCCCCCTTTTGCACTCTGTCTCTATTTAAAAAAGAAAAGAAAAAAAAAGAAAAGAAATAGACTTGTATAAGTATGGCCAGTTAATTTTTGACAAAGGTGCTAAGGCAATTCAATGTGGAAAGAATAGTCTTTTCAACACATGATATTGGAACAATTGGAACAATGGTATTCACATGCCAAAAGAAAAAAAGAGAAAAACCCACTTTCATAACATACACAAACAGTAACAATATAGACCATTGTCCTACATGCAAGAGCTAAAATATATGTTTACTTTACACCAAACATTAGATAAAACAAATGGCCAATAATCACACAAAAACGTTTCAATCACAGTAATAATGAGGAAATATAAAACAGCAGGGATACCCAGTTTCTATCAGATTGTCAACATTAAAAAAATGGTGACATGTAGGATTGATGAGAGCAATTTGATACAAAATCTCTGAAGGATAATTTGCCAGAATGTTAGTGTTATGCATCTTAAAACTATGCACACCTTTAAAATCAAGTTTTCACCCATCCTATGTAAAACATTTTTTAACATGAAAATATCTAGGATTTGCCAGATTGTGGAAAAACAGTTCTGCTCATTCATAGATGAAAGGAATGATATGAAATTTGGAAAATAATTTGATAAGACCTAGTAAAACCAAAAGGAAACATGTAGAAGGATGTTTACTCTGGCACTGTCTGTAATTGTAAAAAAAATTGGGAACAACCTAAATGTTTATCAATTAGTGAAGGGAATATTTTGTATATTAATTTGATGGAATTCTGTCATCTTTAAAAGGATTAGACTTTATAAATAAAGTTAAAAACAACAATATTAAGGAAAAAATACCTTGCATTTTTAGGACATAAAAATACTATTGCTTATAGTTACACACATTTATATATAAACACGAAAAAATGAACTGCAAAGTAAGTTAAAACCACATCAAAATGTAAACAGAGGTATAGACTTCTGGCTATGCCTTTGTGAAGAGATCTGTGAATCTACACACACATACTCATATATAAATTGAGGAAGCTGTTCCAAAAATAACCATTTGAGGGCACTGGCAATAAATAAGCACACAACGAATTATAAAGCATTCTTGAAAAACTGCTAGAGCTTTGGGTAAAGAGTGAGCCTTCTTGGTCTTTTAGCCTGAGGCTGCTCCCATCCACCCACAGCCCCGGCTCAGACCAGAAGAACAGCAGTTTGATCAGCAGGGGCTAGCCAAGAAAACAGCAGCTTTGTGGCAGACGTTTTGGACTCCATTTGGAGCAAGGGACAAACCCCCACAAAAGTGGCGAACTCAGAAGAAATGCAAGGAGGGAAAGCCTGCGTACTTGGTAGCCTAAAGTTGCTGTCCTGGTTTGTAGGAGTTAGAAGCCAGTCAGAAATCTTAACAGGAAGAACCTGGAAATGAGAGAGCCAAGGAAAGGCCAGAGAAGCTTTAGCTTTCCCAGCATCCCTTGCCAACTGGGAAACTATATACATGTGTAGGGGAGATGCAGCAAATAACAACCAAAGGAGACTTGAAATGTGCCAGAGTTTTGAATGCATACCCCAATCTACCTACAGATCAACCACCAGAGGCTAGAAGACATACATTGTAAAGGCCTTTGACCACCACCTCTTAACAAGTCAGCACTAAGCTATGCAGGCACAGGGGTAACCCCAGGAATCCTGTCCAAATTTTTAAAAAATAAGCATTAGGGGCTTATTTTTTAAAATAGGCATCTGGGTGACTCAGTTGAACGTCTGAGTTCAGCTCAGGTCCTGATCTCACAGTTCAGGTCCCACATCAGGCGCGATGCCGTTAGCCTGTCAGGACAGAGCCTGTTTTGGATCCTCCGTCCCCTGCTCTTTCTGCCCCTCTCCTGCTAGCACTCTCTCAAAAAAAAATAAATAAATAAAACATTTACCCAAAAAATGAGCACTAAATACAAGCAAAGATGTTAGGTTTCTTGTCTGGCGTGTAGGGGCTTGGAGGTTGTCACTCCATCCTAACAAGTAAAAAGCTGAACAAACTGGAAAATCAACAGCTCTTCTTAGATCTGTCAGGGAAGTGAGGTCACAGGGCAAGCCGATGGTCCTGAAATT